AGGGGTGAGGAGCAGCAGGGGAGATGGGAGGGTGACTGGGGAGGGGGTGGGAGGAGACAGTGGGGCGGGGTGGCTGTGGAGGGGGTGATGGGAATTGGGGGACAGTGGAAAGGGGGCGAGGGGAGGTAGGAGGAGACGGGCAGGGTGGGTGGGGAGGAGGTGATGGGCATGGTGGGGCAGTGGGGCTGGGGGGGCAATGGGGATTGGGGGAATGGTGGGGCATGATGATGAGGGGGCTTTGGGGGTCAGGGGGCAGTGGAGGGTGGGGGGGATGGTGGGAATGGGGAGGGAGTGGAGGGGGACCGGGGGACCTGTGCCCAGTTCCTGGGCCCCTCAGTCCGTGATAGCCGCCCCCTTTCCCTCAGAGGCGCTCAGCCCTTGGCGCCCAGTGTTGAGGGACGTGTGAGCTGGGGGTGGAGCCTGCACTGCTGGGATGCGGGCTGGGCCTCGGAGCCCCTGTGGGTGCAGTGAGACCTTCCAGACTTAAGCCTGCAAGAGTCTGCCAGCAGGGAACCCAGGAGTCCTGGCTCCCAGTGTCCTGCTCAGATCTCTCTGCAGGAGGGACTCAAGCCGTGCCCTGGCCCTGGGAGGAGCAGCTCCAGGCTCAGGTGTTGGGGGGCATCACGTGTATGAGACGCTTCCTCTGGGAGGTGTCCGAGCAGAACACGGGCAAGCCCAGAGGGCAGAATGGCCTAGAGGGTCGAGCAGGGCAAGCTGGACTTGGATTCCTGGGTTCTTTTTCCTGACCTGCAGTGTAACCTTGGGCAAGACTGTGCCTTGGTTTCCCCCCTGTAAGAGGGGGGTGGTAATTACACTCACCCCATGTAAGGTGTTCTGAGCACAGTGGCCATGTTCAAATCTGCCCTCCCTTCCCCCCGCACTGTCCCGAGGGCATCGTGGGCCCAGTGGGCGTAAACCTGCCCCGTGTCTCCCCCCCCTGCGGCCGGGCCGATCCTTATAGCCCTTGTGGCACTAATGAGCCCCTCCCCCCGCCCGCCCCCGGCAGGACCTGAAATCGCAGACCGAGGTGACGCTGAGCATCGTGCACTGCCCGCCCGTCACCACGGCGATTGTCCGCCGGCCCGACTCCAAGTACCCGCTGGGCTTCTGCGTGGAGGACGGCATTGTGAGTGGCGGGAGCCCTGAAGGGGGGCGGGGGGAGGGCCAGGGGCCCTCTGGCCAGCACAGACGCCGCACTTGGGGCGAGAACTCGGGCCCTTGTGCTCCGGGGTCGCCGGCCGGCTCCGCTCGAGCTAGGGGAGAACCTCCAGCTGCCTGAGGAGCGGCAGGCGCATGGCCCCAGTGGGCGTCGAGTCCCAGGAGTGAGAGAATGGGCAGCGATGGGGCTGGTCCTGTGTGGGGCATCGTCAGCGCCGAGTGTAGGGAGTGGGGGGTGAGCAGCGAGGCCTGGGCGTGTTACCCCAGCGCCCGCAGACTGTCTCCTTTCGCCCTCCCCCAACAGCACCAGCTGCCAGGGTGACGTCCCCATGCCAGGACCCCAGTGACCACGGCCTGTCCTGGGTCCCAGCTCCCTGGTACTCTCCTGCTCGGAGCCATGTCTCTGGGGGCCCGGCCCTGCTGCCTCCAGGGCCAGTCCTGCCCGGGCGCAGAAGGGTGCGGGAACGTGGTGCGGAGTGAGCAGTAGGGGGCGCTGTGGCTGGGGCGATGGCTGGCGAGCGCAGTGTGCAGGGAGGGGTAGGCCCAGGGGTGGGTTTCACGGGCTCTCCGGGCAGGCGAGATTTGCTCTGCTTGTGGAGGCTGCGGAGGATGGCATGCTGGGGGTGGGGGCTGGGCTGCTCTCACCAGCGCCCCCTGCCATTCAGATCTGCAGCCTGATGCGAGGGGGGATAGCGGAGAGAGGCGGCATCCGCGTGGGCCATCGCATCATCGAGATCAACGGGCAGAGCGTGGTGGCCACGCCGCACGAGAAGATCATCCAGATCCTCACGCAGGCCGTCAGCGAGGTGAGCCGGGCTGAGGCCAGGAGCGCAGCAGGGCCCTCTGCCCCATTGGGGGGGCTGGCATGGGGCAGACCCCACCCTGAGCCCCCTGCCTCAGCTGGGGAGGATGGTGTGGGACAGACCCCTGCCCTGTTGGGGGGAGGAGGGCTGACTCCCACCCTGAGACCTCTGCCCTATGATTAGGGGGGTCTGACATGGGCCAGCTCCCCCCAGCCCTCAATTTCCTGGGTGCTCATCTCAACTCCCAGTCCTGCTTTGCAAGCTGCGCTCTCTGCTGGGGAGGAGCTCCCTCGTCACACTGCTGAGCAGCACATCTCTTCTGCCTGCTGCTCTGCAGGGGCTGTTCTCCCGCAGCTCCCTGCTCCCCCTGGCCCTTCTGTTCCTGCACCTGGAGCCTCAAGCAGGGGCCGATCTTCAATGCCCTGGGCTGCAAACGCTTTCTTAGGGAGGGACCAGCTGCCCTCTTCTCCCCCCAGGGCAGGGCAGCGCAGCCCCCTCTGGAATTGCAGAAGTGACTCGGATTCGCCGGCACTGAACTAACGCCCCAGGTGGTGTACAGCTGGGTCTCGGAGGAGCGAGCTCTCTCTCCAAAGCGACAGGCTACCAGGGGGTTTTGGAGGCTGCAATAGGGGTGGCAAAGTGATGGCTATTTACCCTAGCCCGTCCCTGAGCCCTGGGGCAGCTGGCAGGTTAGTGTGGGAATCCCAGACAGCTGGCCTGAGCTCCCTTGCAGGCCTGAGCAGGTTCAGGGTTCTGCTAAGAACTGTTGGTCTTTTTGTCAGGCCTTCAAGTTCGTCCTTAGCCTGGGCAAGAAACTCCACATACTGCCCTAACCTGCATTATTTAACCCTGTTATAACCAGCGGCTCAGCTCCGCCCCAGAGGCAGCTGCATTTCAGCAGAGGGGGGAGAAATAACTCTCTTGCAGCCAGTACATGGACATACTAAGGCACTTTATATCTCTAGACCATGCTTCATCATGAAACGTTTTCCCTGGGTCCTTCTCCCAGGCCCAGGGAGGCTGGGGCAGATGAGTGAGGTCTGCAGGGCTCTGAGCCCAAGTGGGAATGGAGTTCCCCCAGGTGATTCATTCCCTATCCCTCTAGGTCCATATCAAGACCATGCCAGCCTCCACCTACCGGTTACTGACAGGCCAGGAGCAGCCCATCTTCCTGTGAAGGGCAGAGTTTGCATTTACCCATCTGTGGCTCTGCACATGCTCCAGCTGCCTGCTTTGGGGCCCTGTCCTGGGACAGCAGCTGCGTCTCCAAGTCCCTCGGGGCCTGCTGGGGGCCAGATCCCACCGCTTTTCTTGTTTCATGCAGGGACCCACAAGGCAAACCCCCCTTTGGCCTTTTCTGGATGTACTGTGCCTGGCCTCACCACACGAGGGGGCTTTGTACCAGGCCTTAGAGACAGGGACCCAAGCTCCTTGGCTCCTCTCCTGGGCCTCGGCTCACTCACCTGTTCCGCTGCCGGAGTTGCCGGGTTGCGGATCAGGGGCCTTGTTGATGGGGTGGGCCCTGGAGAACACAAGTGCATCAAAGGGAGCCCTGTGCCCCTCCTCGCTGCCTGCAGGTGGAAGATCCCGCCTTGTGTCTGCTGAATCCCAGCTGAGTCTGCCATACAGAGCAAGGGTGACTGGCCTAGCCATGGCTGCTCTCTCCCTCTTGTCCTGCCAGCGGCCTGAGAGGGCCCAGCAAACCGCCCGCGATTCCAAGTGTAACACCAGCTCCGGCTGAGGGGAGGGTGCTGCCCAGATGGACAAAGCCCCTCTGGGACCTGCCTTGTTAATGCTGTTTGTAACGCCCCCTCCCGCAGTGCCTGGGACCAGGGCTGGGCATTAGAGCCAGATCCGTGCTTGCAAACTGGCCTCTGGACAGTGTCTGCCAGCTGGCCCCAGGGTGGGGAAGGGTCAGCTGCACCCTCGTTCTGCAGAAAGTCAAGAGAAGCTGCAGGAGCAGCATGACCTGGCTCAGGCCTAGCGCTGGGCGTGGGGGAATGTTGGGCTGGAGCAGGCAGCAGAGGCCTGGCCAGCCTCGGTGCGTTGGGTGGGGGAACACGGGAGAAAGGGGCTCTCTGCGATCCCGCCCGGCTGCTGGAGCCTCTGCCCTGGGCAGGGCTGGCGTCTCAGGCTAGCCCTGCGGAAGGCTGCATGTACGAAGTTAATCGCAGTGGTGGTCCCAGCATGAGAGACAAAGTGGGGGAGGTTGGACCAACGTCTGTCCAAGAGAAGTTGGTCCAGTAACAGGTCTTCTCACCCCCCTTGTCTCTCCTGGACTAATTCAGAGCCCCTGGCGCTCCCTCGGCTGTAGGAAACCCTGGGGCTGTGATTTTTAACCTGTACTGCTGGCTGATGTAAGAATAAAGGCTGGTTGTGGCGTGTCTAGGACTGACTGGGTAAGTGAAATGCCAGGCAACCGACCTCCTTCATGGGAAGAACTTCACTGCAGGCATACGGGGTCCTGGGACCTGCTCTTGGGAGCGCCGGCTGAGTCCCTCACTTCCTGTGGGAGGGTGAGCAGCTGCTCAGGGTGTCCCTATCAGCCCTAGCTCCAGACTCAGATGGAGGGAGCCCTGGGGTCGGGGTTCATGAGGCCGCCTGCAGCCCCATGCCAGCCTAATGAACTGTATTGTGGTAGGAGGCCGTTCTGTATCCAGCCCCTCCCCCCACACTCCACATGGGGGACCCCAGTCTTGCCACCTGCCTGTCTGTCACGCTGTGTGAAACCCATGGGCGCAGCTGTGGTCGGTGCCCCAGGAGAACAGCACTTGGTGCGGATGCCGATGGAAGGGAAGCGAGGGGGCTGCTGGCTCGAGGGCTCACCCTGGGCTTCCCAGCAGGAAGGGCCTGGCGCCCTGAGGCCAAGCATGAGCTGGGAGCCAGGGCCACGGCTGGACCCTGCTGCGTCCTCCATGGCTAAGCTAGGAGCTTTGTGGGGGCGTCTGGCTCTGACAGACGCTGTGTTTAGTGAGTGCCGCTCCCTGGCATGCAGCATCTCAGGCTGGGCTTTTAGGACCAGCTGTCGGGCCTGTATGTGCACAGTTGTGCAAGAACGGGGTGGAGATGGCACCAGCGCCCAGCTGGGAAGGCTGACGAGGAAAGCCGGCTGCCACACTCGGTGCGCTGAGCAGGAGGGGGGCAGTTAGCCCAGCTGAGATGGGCCAGCTGCCTCAGCTCCATTCGGTTCCCGCGCAGCCAGGCGGGAGCACAGGGACGCTGCTGCCTCCTCTGCAGAGCACACGCAGCAGCGCATGCTTCCTCACGGCTGCCCTGCGCTTCATTCCCCAGCCCCTGCACTGAGGCTTGGAACAGAGACAAGTCGCCCGCCTCCAGTGCGCCTCCTCGGGGGCAATACAGAGCCAGCAGGGGCTAGTGAAAAGGATTCCTTTATTACAAAGAAAGGCAGGGCTATTTACAGCCCCACCCAGGGAGTCCTGCCCGATGAATCACACGGGCAGAGCTGCACGTGCCACGGACGCTGGCACGTTGGCGTCACTGCAGGCAGCTGTGACAGGCCTGAGACCTGGGCTGTGCCTACAGAGACTCGGAGGCGAGTTAAAGTCTAGGACGTGTGCAGCGGCTGTAAGCCCAGGAGAACAGCGCATGCCGGCTGCTCGCCAGCCAGCAGCACACTGCAGGGAGTCTTGTGGTTAGGAAGATTAAAACCAAACCGCCCTGCTCTGGAGAGGGGTGCGTGCTGGAGGGAGCCGACCCCGCGTGAGAAGGGCCGGGGGGGTCCCCTTGCTGGCCCCAGGCGGGAAGGGGACGATGCAGCGTGGCAGGCCCTTCCCAGAAGGCAGCTCGGCGGTGTAGGACGAGGAATCCTGGAAGCCGTTGTGGCTACAGGTCCGTAGCTGGGCCCCAGTCGTAGCCTTCATCCTCATCAGAGTCGTAGGCCCGGGCCTGGGTGAACTTCTTTTTCAGAGCGCTGTGTTCGTACTCCCTGCAGGGCAGCAAAAGGCCACGTCAGGCCCTGGCTGGGGAGCGGGGGAAGGGACGCTAGCTGCACAACCCCCCGCCCAGGCTACTCGGGCCTGGTGAGGATTTCTCCCAGCACCCAGTTCATCCTGCTCTCCCGGGGCCCTGCGGGCCCATCTGCAGAGCCAGGCACCACTGCCCCAGGGTGTGCCAGCTCCTCAGAACCAGGGCAGGAGGAGCCACCCCCCAGCCAGCCCTCCTCCCAGGGCAGCGGGGCACTTTGCTTCGGCTGAACCTGACTGCAGCTCAGACCCAGGGGCAGCCTGGCACCAAGGAGGGGGGTGAAACCCCCTCTCGCTGCAAGAGGCCCTGCCATGCAGAAGGGCTCCCTGGCCGTGGGCTGACGCTCAAACCGGAGGGGCAGCGTGCGCAGCCAGGCTCTGGGTTGAAGAGCTCACAGTGGCCCACAGGCCATGGCTGGTTTGGGTTCAAAACGGGCCGACATTCCCCTCCCTGCCCCGAGCATGTGCGGAGCCCACAGACCCCTGCAGCGCAGGCCAGGAGGAGGGGAAGGTGAAAGGAATCCAGTGACTTGCATTAACCCCCTCACAACTGGATTTCAGGCTGCAGCCACAGACCCAGTGTCCTGGCAAGGGCTGCCAGGTGTCCAGTTTGACTAGAACGCCCGGTCAAAAAGGGACAGTGGCGGCTCCCGTCAGCACCGCTGACCAGGTCATTAAAAGTCTGGTTGGCAGCGCAGCGGGGCTAAGGCAGGCTCCCTGCCTGCTGTGTCTCCGGGCGGCTCCTGGAAGCAGCAGCATGTCCCACCTCCGGCTCTGCACACTGCCCCCGCCCCAAGCCCCGGTGCTGCAGCTCCCATTGGCTGGGAATCATGGCCAGTGGGAGCTGTGGGGGCGGCACCTGCGGACGGGGCAGTGCACAGAGCCGCCTGGCCGCACCTCCACATAGGAGCCGGAGAGGGGACATGCCACTGCTTCCAGGAGCTGCCACCCAGAGTCTGCACCCCTGACCCCCCTCCCATGCCCCACCCCCGGCCCTGATCCCCGTCTTGCCTTCTGAACCCCTCAGTCCCAGCCCCACCCCCCAGCCCTCAACCCATATCCCCTTCTGCCCTCCAAACCCCTCAGTCCCAGCCCAAAGTTCCCTGCTGCACCCCAAACCCCTCATCCCACTCCCACCCTCCGAACCCCTCAGTCCCAGCCCAGAGCACCCTCCTGCACCAAAAATCCCTCATCCCCGGCCCCACACCAGAGCCTGCACCCCCAGCCGGAGCACTCCCCCCCCCTTGTAGAAAGTTGGCAACCCTAGTCCTGGCAGGAAGGCTGCTCCGAGCAGGTGATTCACCCCCCACCCCACTCACTGCTCATGTCACGCCCGCTGGGGCGGGAGAGACCAGGCTGTTGGTACCTGATGCTGCTGTAATCCTGTCTCCACTGGCCCTGAGGCTGCTGGTCTCCATCCTGTTGCAATCAGAAGGAAGTTGTTAGAGGCTGCAGAGCCGAGTGCTCCAGGTGGGGGTGCTGCAGCCCCAGGCACTGCCCTGGGAGGGGCTCCATGGGCAGAGAGGCAGCACCGGCCCGGCTGGCCTGCCCCAGGGAGAGCACCCCCAGCTACCCCTGGAACGGGCACCTCACGGCCAGAGCAGGGCCAGGTGCCCCTGCCCACCTCACCCTGGGCTTTGAAGAGGGGAATTCAGCTGCCCTGGCGCTGTGGAGGCTGCTCACAACAGGACCCTTTGGTGCCCATTCTGATGGGGGTGAGCGATGCCCTCTGCGACCAGGGCAAAGACCTCCTGCCTCCTTCCCCAGAAGCCACCAGCCAGGTCTGACCCCTGCACTGCCTGGCGCCCTGCTCACCCGCGGGGGGGCGTAGGCCAGAGAGACTGCCACGCGCTCGTCTGGGTTCTGGGGCTCGCCTGGCTCCACTGGCTCTGAGGACCGGGCCAGGGCTGGCTGGGCATAGTCATCCTCCAGCTCGTTGTCCGTGTAGGCCCCCCCCTCGCCGTCCGTGTCCTCGTAGTCGCTGTTGGCACGGCTGTCGCACGTCAGGTCCCCCGTGCTGGTGGCACGCTGCTGGTTCAGCAGGTCCAGGCCCTCCTCTGGGGAAGCGTCCACCTGCAGGGAGAGGAGACGGGGGTCACCTGGCAACAGGCCCAATGGGGCCCACAGTGACTCGAGGTGCTGCCCGAGGCGGCATCTGCACTGGCCCCTCGGCACTGGGTATCGGTCTCCCCCTGGCCCTGTATCTCAGCTGCCTTGCAGAGGAGCAGGGTGCTATGGGAGCCCCTCCATGTAATTCTGGAGCACAGCCCCTCCCCACCCCCCCAGTGCCCAAGGGGCTGCCCCGGCTGGCCTGGGAGTTGGGATCAGAGCCGTGTCTGACAGCACAGGGAATTAGTCAGGCAGACTCCAATTCCAGCTCCCTGGCAGTTCTCTGGCAGCGGGCATTGGGCCACGCCCAGGGGATGCCCCGTTTCAGTCAGGGCAGGCAGGAGGGGGGTACAGGAGAGACCTGAGAAAGGCAGGGGGCCTAGAGGAGCGAGAAGGCCTCTACGGGTACCTGCTCCTCCGCTGTCCAGATAGGCCGGGCCTGCTGGGTGCGGATGATCTCCTTGAGGCTCTGGTACCAGGGGTCGGTGCTTCCGCCGAGGCTGATGGTGGCCGTGAAGAGGTAGCTGTAGTTCTTCTTCATCTTGACGGCCTGCGCGTAGAGGCGGCGGGAGCTCTTCTTGGAGTCGGGGGCGAGCCACTGGCGCATGGCCTTGATGCCCTGCCGGCTGTCGGGCTCGCAGAACACCACCACCGGGTAGTACTGCACGTAGTTGAGCCGCTCCACGGCGGACGGCGTGATGTCCAGCAGCGCGTGCTTGTCCTGCGGAGCAGGAGAGGGGCTGGGTGGGACGCTGGGGGAGGATTGTGGGGGCGGGAAGGGAAACCTACGGCGGGGTTTCCCCGCCCTGGAACACCAGCTGGGAGGGACTGGGCCATCCACTGCCATGAGCACTGGAATACAGCTCTCTGGGCCCCCCGCCCCCTTAGCAGGGGGATCCTCACTGCCTGGCCTCGCCTCCCGCCCCCCACTTCCCGGGCAGACACGGCAGGCCCCACACTCCCTCAGGCAAGACACCCAACCTCTCGCCTCGTGGACAGGGGTAACATGCTGGTCAGGAGGCAGCCAGCGTGGGCAGAGCATCCCTCGCTATCCCTGCCCTGCGGGGCCTCACCTTCTCAGCGATCTGCCGCACCGAGTCCAGTTTGATGACCTTGGCCGACCCCCC